GAATTATTGGATGAATCCATCCGTCATTTATTAATTTTTTTTTTCACTCTTTTCCTCTGCCGATTAATTTGTCGAGTTAAATTTCAACGTGACGAAGAAGTTTTCTACCCTTTCTGTTCATCCCAGCTGAAAAATCAGTCGATCGTTTCTTCCACGCCTCCCGCCGTGACTCTTAATAAATTCTCGGAGAACCAACGCCAACGACGTGCTTCTGCGTCGAATGCGAGCGAATTGATTTCTAATCGTTTTGTTTGCGATGGAGAGGCGAGAGAGGGTTCCCGGACGCGGGCAAATAACGGCGAAGTCGATTTAGAATCTATAAATAATCGTTAAAGGCCGCGCCATGTCTTTCATCGTGGAGCGGCGATCGCCACCGATCTCCGTCCCGGACACCGGGCGCGATTTCTGGTATTTATTATTACTTTCCTCGTTGCGGTGTTTCGTTATTATCGTCATCGTGACGTACGAACGTATCCGCGCCGTCTGTTACCATCGTCTCCGCTATCGTCGTTGTTCGTGACGCGAGATATCGCGCAATTTTGTGGCCGCGCGCTCGAATCTATTCCCGTTATCATACACGTTATCACGTGACACACAGCGCGCGTCCGTCACGCGATAATGCCGTATCGACCGAAAGGGATAATTCGCGATAACCCCCGCGATAACTCTCGGATATCGCACGGAGATCGCACGCTCGTTCTCGCCCCAAGATTCGGCATTCGCTGACGGGACAAAAGAAATTAATTAGATCTTTAGCACAAAACCCGAGGAAAACCTTCTCGCCGTGGTATCCGTATCCTCGGCGAGGATAACCCACAAAAACGGGTTTTATCGCTTTTTTATCGCTCTCAGCGACAAAAGAGAGGAACGTCACGGCCGCGTATTTTCTCTTCGTTCTCCTCATTTGCATCATTCACGATACACCAACCTCGTCTATGATCCTTTCAATTACGCTTGTTTGTTTCGTGTATTGTTATATTTTTTTATAACACGGAGAAAGAATGGAGTTTTATTAAAAAATTCAAAAATTTGGTCAGATACAGAACTGAAAATATTTTGTTGAGCCTTCAAAGTCTTATTACGTACGACGTTCGAATTGGTTGCTAGAAGATGAAAAAAATTTTTGCAGTATTATTTTTTGCGTCCTATATAATAATTTTGATTGATTCCATCTGAAAATTATTTTTAGATCTGTATTTAATTAAATTTTTAGATTTGTCGACAAAAGTGTTCTCTCAAATGTGAAGGAAGTTTGGCTGATGTCGTTATTATTATTATTATTTATCTGCAATCAAATTTTTTTTTAATCTTTAAGAGATACTTCTTCATTTTTTTTGGACATTATGAGAGCTTTTCAATAAGGAACACAAATTGACGCGGGAATCATTCTGGCTTTGTCTTTAATTGGAAAAAAAAAAAAAAAAAAAAATAGAATAACCTCTGTGTCGATTTGTGATCCTGTGTCTTTTGTTGGAAAGCTCCCAATGTTTGCTTGACAATCAACGCGAAAAATTCATCGTTAATCTGTGCTCGCGTGACTTTTATTTTGACGTAAATGTTTATTTGACGTGGGAGTCAACTTGATCCACGTTTCAATTTATTTTTATCTTATGTGCAAATAAAACTTTTCATTTTTACTTATAAATAATTATAAACTGAGACATGTGTTTTAAACATAAAATAATAACTTTTAAGAAATTAAAATTTCTAAGGGATTTTAAGAACCAACTCTTCGATTTGAAAGAGAACAAAAATAATTCTTTCCTAAGATACTCCTCTATTTTTAAGAAGTGGCAGATACGAATGCTCTTTACATCTTCTCATAATAAATTCTTTCTCTTTCGTAATTCTTATCTGAGCAATCCTCCCCTCTCGTGCAATTTCTCTAACAGCCATTAGCTTTTGTAACAATAATATATATATATACACACACACACACACACACACACACACACACACACACACACACACA